TGATGCATTGATTGAGGATGAAATTAAAGCTGGGGTGGTAAGAGAATTAGGTGGAAAAGAGCAAAATGATTATATTGTTGTTAGGAACTATATTCTTTCTCGGTGGAGGAGTAATGTACGAATATGGCTAACTAAGGGACATATAAAAGAAACTGTGAGCAATGAATATATTCATTTGTTGTCTGCAGCTTATGATTTTCTTCTCTATAATGGGTATATTAATTTTGGAGTTTCACCATCATTTTTCTCTTACCTTCCAGAGGAGGCAACTAAGGGTTATGTGATAATAGTTGGAGCTGGACTAGCTGGCTTGGCAGCAGCAAGGCAACTTTTATCTTTTGGTTTCAAGGTAGTTGTTATAGAAGGGAGGAATCGTCCTGGGGGTAGAGTCTATACTCAACAGATGGGTAAGAAGGATAAACGTGCTGCTGTGGATCTTGGTGGTAGTGTAATCACCGGCATCCATGCCAATCCTCTTGGAGTTCTAGCTAGGCAACTTTCTATTCCGCTTCATAAGGTCCGAGATAATTACCCTTTATATACACCTGATGGGGTGTCTGTCAAGAAGGAAGTTGATTCCAGGATTGAAACGATCTTTAACAAGATGCTTGACAAAGTTAATAAACTGAGAAAAATAATGGGTGGATTTGCTAATTATGTTTCTATGGGATCAGTTCTAGAAAAAGCTCAGACAGTTGTATGCTGTGACTAGAAGTCCGGAGGAGAACAAACTTTTGGAGTGGCATCTTGCTAATTTGGAATACGCAAATGCAGGATGTCTTTCAGACTTGTAAGCTGCCTACTGGGACCAGGATGATCCTTATGAGATGGGTGGAGACCATTTTTTTCTTGATGGAGGGAATTGGAGATTGATAAAAGCATTATCTGATGGAGTACCCATAAACTATGGGAAAACAATTGATGCTATTAGATATGGTGTTGAAGGAGTTGAGGTTGTTGTTGGTAATCAAGTATTCCAGGCAGATATGGTTATTTGCATTGTGCCTCTTGGAGTATTAAAGAGAAAGACCATTAGATTTGAACCGGAGTTACCTCAAAGAAAGCTAGCTGCGATTGACAGATTGGGTTTTGGGCTCCTGAATAAAGTTGCCATGATTTTCCCTCATGTTTTCTGGGGAGAAGAGCTAGACATATTTGGATGTCTGAACGAAACTAGTGATAACCGTGGAGAGTTCTTTTTATTCTACAGCTACCGTACAGTTTCCGGAGGTCCGGTATTGATTGCGCTTGTGGTTGGTGAAGCTGCACAAACATTTGAATGCACTGATCCTTCACTCTTGCTCCATCGCGTTCTAAGCAAACTTAGAGGTTCTATATATTTTTCTAACTTGTGAAAAATATCAACAGATTATTTAGGGTAATCTATGTCAAATACCACTCATCTTTATGCTCGAGATCGAAAATGACACTGACGTTTCAATTTTGCCAATTTTAGCACAGACGTATATGTTTCACTTCAATTTTGCCACTCTGCCATTAATCCGTTGACGGCACGATGACATGGCATGCCAATGCCTTGACGGCGATGACATGAACGACTTTTTCAAAGTTATTCAGTCCATGTAGCATCTGTATTACCTGAGAAAAGTTGGAGATTCGCCACCACAAAACTCTCATTTCTTCACCACCACAAAACTCTCCCTCACTCTGTCGTCCACTATGCACGGTATCATCCGCTGCAAGAAGCTCGACAACCTCGCTGGCGATTCGCTCTTCGATGACGAAAATCTTATAGCATACCTTCTTGTCTTCTTAATTTTCTTGGTGTCTTCTTGCTTTGCCTCGTAGGCTTTGTTTCCAATATAATTTTTAAGTTGGTGTTGAACATCTCTGAGGGGGAATCAGTGGAGAAGCTCCTCGAAGATGAAACAAGGGTTTGTCTACCCACAGAACAAAATCGAAGTTGAGTAGAGACTTCTCTGGAAAGCATACTGGGTAGGAGATCGAATGGTGTCCTTGTAAAGGCATATTTAAAACCTAAACAACATGAAGGAAGAAGGGAATTCTTACAGTCATTACTTGGAAGTGGTGGAATTGGAGTTTCGGCTTTACTAGGAAATGGGAAAGCGAATGCCAATGAACAAGGGGCTTATTCCTCGAGAATGTCCTACTCTAGTTTTTTGGAGTATTTGGACAAGGACAGGGTTAAAAAGTGGATTTGTATGAAAATGGCACGATATCTATCATGAAGGCTGTCTCTCCTGAGTTGGGAAACCGTGTTCACCGAGTTCGTGTGCAGCTTCCAGGATTCAGCCAAGAGCTTCTTCAGAAGTTTAGGGAAAAGAACATTGACTTTGCTGCCCATAATGCTCAAGAAGAATCTGGTTCACTGTTGTTTAACATGATTGGCAATCTCGCATTCCCACTAATCTTGATTGGAGGGTTGTTCCTTCTTTCGAGGAGATCATCTGGAGGAATGGGTGGACCGGGTGGTCCTGGCTTCCCCCTTGTCTTTGGTCAATCTTAATCAAAGTTTCAGATGGAGCCTAACAATGGCGTGACATTTGATGATGTTGCTGGAGTTGATGAAGCGAAGCAGGTCTTCATGGAGGTTGTCGAGTTCTTGAAGAAGCTAGAGAGGTTTATTGTAGTCGAGGCTCGCATCCATAAAGGTGTTCTTCTCATTGGCCCTCTTGGAACCGGAAAGACTCTTCTCGCCAAGGTAATTGCTGGTGAAGCTGGTGTGCCATTCTTCTCCATTTCAGGTTCAGAGTTTGTTGAAATGTTTGTTGGTGTCGGTGCCTCTCGAGTTCGTGATCTTTTCAAGAAGGCCAAGGAGAATGCCCCATGTATTGTATTTGTGGATGAAATTGATGTTGTTGGTAGACAAAGAGGAACTGGTATCGGTAGAGAGAATGATGAGAGGGATCTAGAACTTGTAAGAACATAATATTGTCAATGTTGTCTATGATATTGTTCCTCATCGAGAGCTCGACGAGATATACTGGAAACGTTGATGGGACTTGGCCGAATAGTTGTTATCGCTAGCGTTGAGAAAGTAAAGCTTTCTGAGTGAACCCATATCAGGAAACTCACTAGAAATATAGTTTCGTTGGATTTCGAGTCGTTTCAAGCGTGTTAGGTTGTTAAAGCTTGAAGGAATTGGTCCATTTTATAACTTTTATAGAAAACATAATAGAAAAATATAATGTAGTTCAATGGTTAAGCATTTAGTTTAATTTTAAGGGGTTTGGGGTTCAAATCCCTCTAGTTGCATAATATTTCAATAATTTTTTCAAGCAAAACGATGTCGTTTTGTCTTTATTGAGCATCAAAATAGTTGTGTTGATACGACATCGTTTTGGTAAGGCATCCACGTCATCACTGTCACGGCCCGTCCATGCCATGTCATCGTGCCGTTAACGGATTAACGACGGAGTGGCAAAATTGAAGTGAAATATAAACGTCCGTGCTAAAATTGGCAAAATTGAAATGTCAGTGACATTTTCGATCCCGAGCATAAAGATGAGTGGTATTTGACATAGATTATTCGATTATTTATTTTCTGTTTTCATGGTTTAAACTCTTGTATTTTCTGTATCTTCATTGGAAAAGTAGTGTTATGATCTATTGATTTTCCTTGCAGCTATTTATGGTCCAAAAGGTGTAATGTGCCTGACCCTATACAGACAATTTGTACAAGATGGGGAAATGATCCCCTTTCATATGGTTCATACTCTCATGTTAGGGTACAGTCATCCGGCAGGGATTATGATATACTTGCAGAAAGTGTAGGCAATAGGTTGTTTTTTGCTGGTGAAGCCACAACTCGGCAATATCCAGCCACCATGCATGGTGCCTATTTGAGTGGGTTAAGGGAAGCTTCACATATTCTCCGTGCCACAAGAGGTCGCCAAAGCTACTTTAGGAGGTCTGTGCCGCGGAATGTTGGACCAAGCGGTGATCAATTGGCAGATCTTTTCAAGTGGCCTGATCTAGTATGTGGGAAGTTCTCATTTGTGTTTGATCCATTAACAGATGATCCTAAATCAATGGGACTCTTGAGAATTACTTTTGATAATTGCAAAGATGATATGAAAAAGGTGCTGGAAAAAAGCAGTGATCCTCTATCAAATCAATCATTGCAGCTGTACACGACATTATCTCGTGAACAAGCACTTGAGATGCAGACAGTAACTGGAGAAGAAGAAACTAAATTGGTTTATTTGATGAATAATTTTGGATTAAAGCTTATGGGAGCTAATACTGTTGGAAACGCATATAACTCCTTGGTTACTAGCATATCCAATGCAAGAAGTGGTAGGGGAGGCAGGTATCGTATATCTGCTCCACTGCTAAATACAGTCTAAATGAGCTACCGGTGTCATTGCATTCGAGTTTTATGTACAACTTGTTAGAATGGAATCCTGATGCATAGTAGTGCTCCATGAGTGAAAAGAAAAGAATGTCTTCTCTGGTGCATGTACATAAACCTAATTAGGTAGCTTATTCTTCATTGACTTCGGTCTAGAGTAATGCCTTCATCAGGATTTCAAATGTCGTAAATTCTTTCCTCGCCAAATTGGTTGTGAATTCAGGGATCTATTGGTCCATGATGTAGGTGTAGTGGTATTCAGTTGTGATTGAATGCCATTGTATTTCCATAATCAGACGCCATGTTAAAACTTAGTTTTGTTGCATCTTGTATGTTGTATATAGTAAATTTTCATCTTTGGTGCTGAAATATATGTTTCGAATCATTGAACATCTTGATTTTTGCATTTTTTCTGTGATGTCGGAATGGCTTATTGATGCGATGTATACTCCAGGAAGCATACTTTTTTACCTGCTTGATCAAGCCATATTGTTAATTGTGTTAATGATCATGTGGTCCTGTTGGATGATATAAACACAAATAAAGAGGTTGAATTGAAACCAACTTTTGGAAACATTGCAATCAATCCATAACAAAATATTAAGCAAGTACAAATGCAAGCCATGACCTGTATATAGGTCAAATTACAATTGCAACCCTTGAATTTCCCCCCATAAAAATCATAAACATTTTAAAACTTTCTGGCAAATGAAAGCCCTTTGTTTTTATGTTGATCAAAGTTTTCAACTGGACCTTTTTGAGTCTTGAAACTTTAGCAATGGCCATAAAGAACTATGAACAGTTTGCCATGATGTTAATCAGCCTGCAAAAGAAACATTTCACAGATTTAGACAACGACTTCAGCAGCAAAATGCATATGCCTTCTGTTGGCATTAGTTCACTATAACTCGTTAATATGGGCTTAGCACAAGTTATGATGCATTATTAGACGTAACGAGCATTATTCTATGCAGATTAACCAGTAGTTTATGAACAAGTTATGATGCATTATAAAATGTGATAAGCATTATCCACATGCAGATTCCATTGGTAACATACAGAAAGTTATGATGCATTATAAGATGTAACGAGCATTACCATATGCGGATTAATCGATAGCTTAATCGAATCACATACCCAATTCACATAAGCTAGCATTAATCATCTTAGAACATAAAGCACAAAAACGATCTTTATGGTTGAACACGTTATTGAGTTCAAAAGTTTACCAGTGTGTAGACCAGCTAGTTCATAGAGACAGCCCGGCAAAGAGCAACTCCAACTCCTCTTCTTGTGAAGCAGTTCTCTGGCATAAACAAAAAGGTAAAAATGAAATCCCAGTTCTTTACAAAATGTAACTTCTCAACTTAACTTTATATATATATATATTTCGAGTATCGCTAACCAATCAAGCCACCGTATCTTGATTACCTGAATGGATAACAGTTGAAGAATTTTATTAAGAACAAGCATGCGATGGGTAACATACGAACTAGTCGCAGGAAGCTGGTTCATCCTTTTCATTTCTTCGTGTATGGACGGAGTCTTCTCTTCGTACCCCATTTGCTTCCATTGTGCTCTGGGATGAATAGTACCAACTTCCTCCATGGTTTGATCATTAACATGACCAGTTGCCTTAAATTGTTCGAAACTCCCCATGATGAACAAGAACTAAACAAACCAACCTACCAACAAGTACAAAAGAAATCAAATTCGGGTTACAAGTTACAACAAAAACTGACACAATTATGAACTCGGATTTAACCAGGTCGTTAATTGAAAAAGTTCTAATCCTATCCCCAGACTGCAGTCTTTGCAAAAAGAAATCCAATGTCTTAAAAATTCAAGAAAAACAATTAGTTAATGTGAAATATATTGCTAAGCATTCTTCTGGGTCATTCTCATTATGATAATTGAAAAATGGTCTCGAAAAAAAAGGGGAGAAAACCGAACCAATTAAAAAAAAAATTGAAGTACCATCATATATAGGTGTCCAAGCATAATCTGCAAACTTTCTTGTAAAATATAACGCCAAATTCATTTCAGATACTTAATAATTAGTCCTAAATTGATTGCACAGTTTATATACTTTTCATTTGATTACCCAAATACAGTTGAAATTGCAAAACATGAAGAAGAAAAATAAAACTTCGAAAAAAATAGAAAAAGGGAAGGGGACTCACAGAGGTATCTCAAAGGATGCAGCTTTGGTTAGGCGGGGAGGACCGAGGACGGTGATTCCGTGAAAGAACGGACGCTTGCTTTCGTGGTGTAATAACTTGGGGTCTTTATGGGTCGGGTCGGAATGAGCCCTATTTCAATAATTTTTGAGTAAAATATATAAAATGGTTCTAGACTATAGGTCGTTGTTTTGTTAAGTCTTTCAACCATTAAAAGTGATAAAATAATTCTCTAATTATAAAACGTTATTTTGTAGGAATATTTTACTGTTAAAAATTACAAAATGATTATATAATTATTCATATGTTCTAAACTTATCATTTTTCATTAAAAATTGACAATAATATGAGTTGTACATTAACCTATTAATAGTGATATAATAAAATCCAATATCAAAATCTCAAATGACTATTATATCTCAGTCATCATGTTAAAACATCAAACTCAAATGATCATTAATTTTTTTAATGGAAAAAATGAATTTGGAATATATAAATAGTCAGGTGACCATTTTTTTAAGTTTTAATAGTCGAGAGACTCAACAAAGCAACATCCTATAATTGAAGGATCATTTTATAATTTTTAATAGTCATTGCACTCAATAAAGCAACACACTATGATCAAGGGACCATTTATATACTTTACTCTATATTTTTTTAATTCAGTTCTAATTGTCTAAGTTAATTTTTTTAATTTAAAAATATAAATAATTGAATATTAATGTTTTTTTTATCTTGATTATTAAGGGTAGTATTATTCACCCTAAAAATCTTTGGTTCGAGTAACTACATCTACAACATGTGTTCGTTATTAATGATAAAAAAAATTATGCACATATATTATGTTAATAATCCCAAACTATATTAATATCAGTATGCATTGGGGGTGTATTCGAAAACATATTTTCTTGTCATTTTAAACTTTTAATATTCTAGATCTTTAACGTTGTAAATATATGATATTATAAGCGTTTAATATTATATGTTTCTAATATTTTATGTTGAAAATAATTATAGTAAATAATTAGATTTTTTTTATCGTTCATTAATTTGAATAATCAATGAATGAGATAACGGCTAATAAATTTAAATTATATAATCATTTTGCTATCAAATAAGTAAAATAGGCAAGTGATGGATGAACAAGAAATATGAGATAAAATTTATAATGAGCTTATACCATATATCAAAGGTTTCATCTTTAGTCTTCCTATTAATAGTCGTCAGGTGACATTAAAAATAAAGAATACAAAAAAGAGCATATAACAATTTTTTAAAATAAAAATCCCTTTATGAATTCTTCAATCACATTCTGCTCTATTCGATCATCACATCTATCTGAATAAATCATCACAGGTCATTGGCTTTCAAATAAGCTATCAATGAGTTTCCAAATTTAACAAATTTTTTAACTTTATAACTTTTTATTTATATTAATTTATATAGTTGATGTTTTTTTTTTGTTTTAATCCTTTTAGTTATATGATACAGATTACGATCTTAAAAAAGCACATTATTTAAGATTAGTAAAATAATTTAAAAATAAAAATAAAAAACTATGAATAAAAAAATAGACAAACCCAAATTTAAAAACCGGATCAAATCTAGTATTTCAAATAAAGCAAAAGCATTTCACACGTATGAGGTAACCGTCTCCGCGGCAACAGCTCTTGACACGCGCGTCAAAAATCGAAGAGACCCGAAAATTCGAAACAGAAAATTCGCATAATAAGAAACTGGGGGAGCGAAAAACCGAAAGGAGGGAGGAAAGGGAGAAAGAGAGGCCTGAAAAGACCAATTCGACCTTATCTTTCTTTCGATATTACCATTTCTCCTTCGTCTTCCGCCCCTCGTAATCGTAATCGTAATCGTCTCTCTCCCTCTCTCCCTCGCGCGCGCGCGCGTCATTTACATTTTTCGTTTAGACTTCTTGAAACATGAACGAGAAGGCCCACGTTTCCAAGGAACTCAACGAGAAACATCGGAAGGTGATCGTAAATTTATCAGTTTTTTCGACATTGTGATTTGCATCTTAATCACGTTTCCGTTTTGTTCCTTGTGTAAAGCCTTTGTACTCATTTGATCTGTGTTTGTTCTATCGTTTCTTTTGTTGCTTTTTCACCTGATTTCTTTTAATTCATCTGAATTTGTTGGTTGTTTGATTCACATTTCTTTTTTAAGGGATTTGATCGAATCGGATATCGAATGGCGAATATGAGCTGATTTAAGTCAATTCTTTTATATGAATGAAACGATGGTTATATTCAAATTATTATCAGATTAGGATCGGTTTAGATTGATCAAGTTGGTAAATTCATTGAGATTAATGGAATTTCATCACTAAAAGTGCCATCTTAAATAGCATCATATAAATTATGTTTTGCTATTTTGGAAGATCTAAACTTGAGTTTCCTCAATCAATTTTGTTTAAAAGTTCGGATTGTTTTTTTGCCTGATTATGCGTTTCCTTTCTAATATACTTTATAGGTTTGCTGATTTTGTTTTCTTCATATATTCAAAACTTTTGAAGGGTTGGTTTTTGTACCTTAGGAACTTATGCAATCTTCCTATTTGGGAATGAGGTCTATAATTAAGTAGTAGAGGGTGTTAAATTCCTCCATATTAATTGTATGTATATATGCACTTACATACACACATTCTCCTGAATTTTCAATTCTTGTGCGTATATGTTAACCTATATGGTATGATATACTCGTTTAACTTGAATGAGTGATTTTGGTTATTGCATATTTGATGATTTAGCCTGTTTTCGTATCTGGATTCAAGTTCTCATCTTTTGATTTCATATGTAGATTCTGGAAGGTCTTCTAAAAAATCCAGAGAATAAGGAATGTGCTGACTGCAAATCCAAGTATGTAACAAGAATATCAAGAAAGGGGATTAGCATATCATAATAAAAAATAAGGGAGTACCTAAAATAAAAAGTGTCTTAATAAAATGTAGCTTTCTGTATAAATTTTGTCATGAGTCGATGGTAATATCATTCTTTCTTTTCGTAGGTGCTAATAGTTGTCTCATTTCACTGCAGAGGTCTGAGATGGGCTAGTGTGAATTTAGGTATCTTTATATGCATGCAATGTTCTGGGATTCACGGAAGTCTTGGTGTACACATATCAAAGGTGGTTTTCTTGCCTCTTGAGTCAAATTCACATTTCATCTCTTTCTGACTCAAAAAGAGTTTATTAAATTATGCCAGTCTCAACTTTCATGCTTCTGTCTTGGAAACAAAACTTGGTGCCTCAGAAATGCATCTGACATCTTTTACTGTAATGTCTAAGACAATAAAAGGATTAGATTGGTTTGGCATTTACCTTTTGAAGTCCCAGGCTAAAGACCAAGCTTATGTTTCCCTGGTGCATATTTGCATCTTAATGCCTCTTACTGCAGGTTCGATCTGCTACCCTGGACACATGGCTCCCTGATCAGGTTGCTTTTATTCAATGTAAGCTTTTTTGTTTGGCCATGAATCTTTATTCTGATTTATATTGGTTTTATGTTAAGATGGAGTAGAGCCTTCTAATATGACTTTGGCTTTTCTTATTATACAGCAATGGGAAATGAGAAGGCAAACAGTTACTGGGAAGCTGAATTGCCCTCTAATTACGACAGAGTTGGAATTGAGAACTTCATCCGTGCAAAGTAGCCACTGATTTTTTTAGCATTTAGTTTTTTGTGAAGAGCTTTTGTATTTTTCAAATTTTGTTGTGTATTCTTTTGTAGGTATGAGGAAAAGATATGGGTTCCTAGAAATCGGAGATCCAAATCACCACCTAGAATGTTGGATGAAAGGGCTCCTTCATATGTGCCGGGACCAACTGAAAAAAATGGTCATCGGTGTGTAAATAGTTCTGGTAATTCATTCGAGGAAAGGACCATTCAAGCATCTAGCAGAAACGAAAATCTTCCTGCTACAAGAATTAGTCTTCCTATTCCTCCCAAGGGACTGAATCCGGTATTAAGTTCTTTTCCTGGCGATGTGCTCTTGTTTCTAACATTTATAGAAACCCACAATATTTCTTAATGTATTTTTTGCAAATACACTAGTAGCGTTAAAGTGAAAAAATATAAGGAAAATGGCAGACAGAAACATTGCCAACAAATAGTATGAACTAGAACTCTGGTCTTGAAATTGCTTTGCGTATTGTTCAACTCACTTTCTTGCTTCTCCTTATGTCGTATTTCTTCTAGTAACTTTAATTTTCTCCAAAAAAGTGCTTTCATGATGTTGTGCTGATCTAACAGGTTGCACCTGTCCGGGTATTAGAAACGGTGGTGGCGGCACCAGCTGTGGCAACAACAACTCCTCTGACTGTTACTCCCCCTAAATTTGAATGTGCTACAGACCTTTTCAACATGATATCCATTGATGATGCTCCAAGTGAAAATGCTTCTGGTTCTGGGGCAGCTTCTACTGATGATATTGATTGGGCAGGTTTCCAGTGTATGTCCTAAAGTTTCCCCATACTTTTTGTTTATTGGCATCACCTTGCATTTTCATTTATGATCTTGTTAACCTGCTTTCTGCCAAGTGCCAGCCACCTGGGAATGGTGGTAGCATTTTATTATTGCCATTAATTTTGTGACCTGATAATTTTTAGCTGCTGGAAACACTTCTGCAACCGA